CTGGTAGTGGCTCGATGCTGTTTCAGCTCTTTAGTGCTGTTCTCGTGGCGAAATCTGTTTGGCTTCGCTAAAGGTAGTGTGCTGGGCGGAGGCTGTTTTGAACTTGCGGTCTGACGGGGCTTGTGCCAGTCCTGCCTTGAATAGCATCCTCCGTGCTTTGCTTGGCTGGTTTGCGTCCAAGAAGGATGTTCAGGTACTTCTGCATCTCTGTGTGTCTGCAGGTGGGTTTGTACTTCAAGGTTTTCCCCTTTGAGGACCTCCTGCCCAGCTACAGTGATGTGGTTCTTGGAAAAGATCAAAGCATCGCATGAAAACAGAAACCTCTCTGGCTCCTCCTTCCTGGGACTGCCACCTGGCCAAAATCTGTCTGAAAAAGGCCGACTGGGGGCTGCCGCTTTTCCTAATGTGCTCACTCCTGACAGAATCCCCGAATTCTGCATTCCTCCCAGGCTGACCAGCTCTGGCCCTATTAAGGGCCCTGGCTCCCACCAGGACCACAGTTTAGAGGATGCGGATCTTAATTCATCTGACTACAGCCCCAGCTCTTCTTTGCCACATCTCATTCAGGTGGAAAGTGCTGAAGAGATCCCTGCCCTGGAAGAAGAAAGCACCAACTCAGACCCACAGTCTCAAGCCGCGCTGTCCCTGCCTCACTTTCCCAGAGCCCCCACTTCCTACGGCTTCTGCACTTTGCTGGAGAGTCCTCACACCAGGAGAAAGGAGTCCATCTTCCACGGTGACTCACGGGGTGCTCTGCCCAGCCTGATGCTGCCTCGATCCAGAGCTAACACGTTCAGTGGCAAAGGGAGTGTATCTAATCCCATTGCTATCAGCTTTGGTTCTGTGAGGCTGCCTCCCAGGCATCCTTCTCTGCACAGGCAAGGCGCCTGTGACAGCGATACCGCCTCCTCCAGCGATTCCTCTCCTTTCAGTTCTCCGCTTCTCAGCAGGTCACCTCCCCGACCCTGCTCCCTGACCAAAACACAGAGTCAGGAGGGACTGCTCTGCCGAGCACTGAAAGCCAAGAACAAATCCAGCATGGCCAGGAACAATTCTCTCTCCACAGAGGAGAGCAGCTCCACTGATAACAGCCCCAGTGCCATCAGGCGAGCCTCGGAGGGGCTGCTTGCCACGCACAGCTTTAGCATGTCCTGTTCTCCCATCTTTCCCCTGGACCTGACCCACAGCCGGGAGAGACTAGTGGGAGAAAGCACTGTGGTCATGGACAAGGGAGGCCTGTTGAGGCTGTCGGTGGAATACTGCTCAGAGAACGAAAGGCTGCGGATCCGTCTGATCAGTGCAGAGGGTTTATATGATGACTCTGTAGAGCCCAAAAACATCAACTGCTGTATCACCTTCTCCCTGGTGCCAGGGAAAACACAGAAGCAGAGAAGCACTGTTATAAAGAGAAGCAGAAATCCCATCTTCAATGAGGACTTCTTCTTTGATGGCATTGCAGAGGAAGAGCTTTACAGCCTCTCTGTAAGGATGAAAGCAATGAATAAAGGGTGCAGTATGAAACGGGATTACACCTTAGGAGAACGGGAATTGTCTTTAATGAGTATGTTGTCAGTGTAATACTTCAAACAGACTAGTTTTGTCTTCTTAAAGTTTTCTACTAAATAAAGTTTTGAGTTGACTTTCTTTTTTAATTTTTTTAAAGAATACTTTAAAGCACTGCATTGTTTGGTATTACTCTCATGCAGCTTGTTTTGCTGCTTAACACTTCAAACTCTGTGAGGTATTTGTTGTTAAATTAAAAGGTGGCGGTGGGGCAGATTTCTGCCTGTAGGAGAGGAGGGCAGAAGGGCTAGTTTACCTTTAGGATAAAGGATTAGGCAGCTACCAAGTCAAAGCTGTTCTTGTTTATGGCTTTCAGGATGTGGAAGGGTTGTTTTTTCACTCACTCTGGTCCCTAAGCAGGTACCCAGCAGGCACTGAACTCTGTTGCAGCTGCCAGGTACTACTACAGTTGAACAGACCATTCTGACATTACAGAAATGAATGTTTTAATGTGTTTGGGGAGGGGCAAAGAGAGATACAGAGTCTGTCTGGGAATCAGCCCTTCTCCTACAATGGGGGTGGAGGATTTGCACTCCCAAAGCAGATGTAGGTTTGTGCTGAGGATAACAAGATCAGCTTCTGAGCAGCAGCTAAAAGCCACTGCAGGCAGGGCTCTGCTTCTCTCCACAGACCTATACTATCCACACTGAGCAGTGAGGTGGCTCCCGCCTGGAGTGGGTGAGTGCTGTAGCACAGTTAGCATCTTCCTTTACCTTTCCTCTCCGTGGCTGACCTCACAGCTGTCAGGAGGAAGTTTCCAGGTAATTGAGTTTTGGTCAGGAATGTACCCTGGAGCTATAACCCTCAGAAATTCAGCTATCAAATCCTTTCTGAAACTGAAGCAGATGGGAGGAGATCCCAATATGGCAAGGGCAAAGGATAGTCTGGGATCTCTGGGTTGAATTCCTGCGTCAGCTAATGACTGGCTGCATCCTTGTTCAAGTCGTGTTAAAAATAGGATAATCTTTCTCTGTCCTGTACTAGCACGTGGTGAGTGGCTGAGGCACTTGCTTCATCACCACAAGGAACACAAAGGTGCAGAGGTTCTGCAGGCTTGAGGCTCCCTTCCCTCTTTTTTTTTTTTTTTTTTCTGCCAAGGAGGACTGGAGCTGGGGAAAATGGATAAACTCGTAGAAACTGCAGCTGTGCAGGTGGGAGTAGGCAGAAACCCTCTTGAAAGTCCAGGCCTGTTGCTGCCTCCCTTGATTAAGTTGCAGGCTCCATTATGGGAAGGTAGATAAGCCTTAATGGAGGAGCAATCCACACAGGCGTGGGGCACAGAAAAGGAAGGGTTTTTTCTGTGTTCTTTGTGAGGCTGTAGAAACAGGGTCTTGCTTGTGCCAAATCTACAGCTTAAAAGCTCTTTCAAAAAGATTTCTAGTAGATCCTCCCCTTGCCCTGTTCGGGCAAGAATGTAACTGCCTGCAAATCATGGGCCTATTCATGGGAGGTTCTGGTAATGCTTGGCCACTGAATCATTTGATTCTGTTTCAGACTTAAGCACCTCAGGAAGGATTTTTTTTTTTTTCTTTCTGATAGCAGAAAAAGCCCAAAGGATATTAACTGTGGCCCCAAGTGCTCAGCAATGCCCACTGCTAATCCTGAGATGCTTCTAAAAGCAGAATCATTGTACAAAGGACAACTTGCACAGGAGAATGGCTGGGTATATTCCCAGAAGCTGATTAAAATCAAATGGAATAATAATCCCCTTGTGCTAAAGGAAAGAATTAAATGTACTGACACACTGCACAGCTGGAGGTGATGCACTGACACTTGCATCCTTGAATCTGGGCAAACTGACTATAAGGGAAAACCTAAAGGAAGTAGGGAGAAGTGAAAAATGTGACTTCAAGGAAGAATCAATAATGCTGCAAAAAACTAAGCCTATTTAATTGGTTATTGCATGGGGTCTCCAGAAGGAAGGCAGAGGCTCCCTCTTCAGGCTCATCACCGTGTCCTGGTTTGGCGGGGACAGAATCCCAGCCCAGCCATGCCGGGCAGGCCATTAGCAGTTACAAGTCAGCCAGGGCAGCTGACCTGAGCGAGCTACAGGGGTGGCCCATCCCATGATGTCGTGGTCACTGTAAAGGGGGAAGGTTTGCTGAGGAGAGGGAGCTCCTGTGGAGTTCTTCTGGCTTCTCCTGAGAACTGCTCTCCAGTTGATTGTGACAACTGGATATTCATTTGGCTGAGTATAGCTGTGTAGATCTCTGTGGTGGCGGTGGTATTTCTTCAAATCTGTTTCGTGTCTACCCACAGGTCTACTCTCCTTTTTCCCCTGATTTTCCTCCCTGGCTGGCAAGGGGTTGCCTAGTGATGGAGTGACTGTTATAGTTTAGCCCTGGCTACAGGCTAAACACAGACACACCATCACATTTTCAGTTCTTGGGACTTAAGGTCTCTTCACAAGTGTACCCACATGGAGAAAGAGGCCGAGACAATACAGAAGAGAACAGTTACGTGTGTCAGGATCACGTACAGTCACACTACAGTGGGTATCTATCTGCCCTGTGGTATGTGCCGTGCCAGTGCTGTACTGCAGGGACATGGAACGATGGAATGATTGAAATGGGAAGGGGCCTCGGGAGACTGCATTGCCTGCTTAAAGCAGGGTCAGCTCCAGCAGGTTGTTCAGGACCATGTCGAACTGGATTTAGAGTGTCTCGAAGGAAGGAAACTCCACAATCTGCCTGGGAACCCTACTCCAGTGTTTTACTATCCTAACAGTAAAAAAAGTATTTCTTTCTGCGTAAGCGGAGTTTCCTGTGTTTCAGCTTGTACTCATTGCCTCTTGTACTGTCACTGGATACCCCTGAGAAGAGCCTGGCACCATCCTCTTCATTCCCTCCCATCAGATATTCATACACATCAATGAGATCTTCCCTGACCCTTTTCCTCCACAGGCTAAAGGGCATAGTGTAGTTACTGACATAAAAAAGCTTGTAAAGTCTCATCCTTCGTCAGGTGGGGAAGGAGTTAAGTCCCTGGAGAAAGTTCTCCCTGTTGTAGGAAAATAAGTTTCCAGCTGGGGTCATCTAGTCAGGTATTTAAAGAGGCGAAGGCTGCATCTTTGCTTGGTTGAAAGAAAACTGAGCTGGTTTTAAGGACCTTTAAACAATGACTTATTGGTGAGAAAGTCTCCTTAAGAAGTTTGATGGTAGGCCTGCATGCTAGAGGGTGACTTGCTCCTTCAGCTGAAAGCAGCAGACTTGCAGACCCGGTTCCAAGGCAGAGTTTAAGCCTGGGAAGGACAGCTGGACTTTGCCTATGTTTCTCGGGTAAATAATCTAACTTCAGGCTTTTTTTGATAATTTTCTTCTTTAATATAAGAACTTTGAATTAAGTACCTACTCAGCTATGTTAGTCAGACTCAGGACTAAGCACGACCACAACACTAGATGGAAAACAGGTTTGGTGCCCCCCTCCCCCTTTAGTGTGTGTTTTTACATTTTGGGGGTTTTGATCCCTTTTGAACTTTGGGGTGCTGCTTATCAGGGTGTTGCTCTTCTTAGCAACGCAAAGCTGTAATAGGATTTGAACACTTCAATTTGATTGGTATTAGAGGGCAGAGGACTTGTTTTCTTGTGCTCTTAGAGGTCAACTAAGCTGTAAGTGGTGAACACCTACAATGCTGTCTATGCTGCAGCCACTTCCCGAAAGCGTCAGCCTTGTTGGGGCTGTTACGTAAAACACCTGCATAAGCAAACAAGAAGGCAATCAGATACTTCCGCCTGGGAAAACTCATGATGCCTCTGCTTATGAGAGAGTCAACAGCAAGAAGAAAATCCACCTTCTGGCATGAGCAAACAGCTACTTGGAGTTAAGAAATACTCTTCAGCAGTTTTCTGAACTTCTAAAATACCATGGAAATACGGTAGCATAAATTACACTCTCAAGCAAAAGCTCCGGTTTTGGGTTAGTCTGATCGGCTGTGTTCAGTGGTGCTCACTGGTTGGAAGATCACCTCTTAATTTCATTTTAAAAAGAAAACCTCTGACAGTTGTTTGAGGAAAGGAAGGTCTTTCTGCCAAGATCCTGGACTTGTGTTTTGCTAAGCAAATATTATGCGTTTCAGCTGCACTGGAAGTACTACTTGTGCTGGCCTTTTCAAATGCAGTTATTTTAAGCATGCCTCTTCAGTTCTGGACAAATGTTTCTGTAAAGCAAATCTTAATGTTGTTTTTTTTTTCCGGAAATCCCTGCAGGTCATACTCGAACGCAGTTTGTGGTGCAATGTACTGAGGCACGGTAGGGTAAAACGCAATTCCTATAACTGTGCTGCTTTTCAGGTAAAGTTCAGAAACAATACCAAGGGAAGCAAATATCTGTGACCTGAAAAGCCTAACAGGACGGACGTGTGGACTGGGGATTAGGCAGCACTGCGTCTGCAGTATCAAATTCCATTTATTGCACCACTTGTTCTAAGCTGCTCCCATTTCTCAGACTGGCTCTGGAGAGGCACTGCTGAAAAGGGCACCTGTGCAGCCTCCAGGTGCCTCCTCTTGAGGTGGCTCTTTGGGGAGGCTGGTACCTCTGTTCCTGCTGCTTGGCTTTTCAGCCAGCCATAGTGAGTGGTGAGAGACTGAACAGGTGATGGGGCCTGATGGGCAAACATTCTTCTACTTTTCAGTCTAACTATTAATTGCTGTGGGTAGCTTTTAGTTGCCTCGAAGAAGTGAGGAAAGAACAGTTAGATGACTGTATAAATCTGTGAAAAGCCTATCTCTGTGTTGCCAATCTACTTCCCGCACGCTGGGGAATTTTTCCTGGAGAAATGTGGGAATTGGACTGCTCAGTGTAAGGCCTCTCTGCAGGACCTCTGGGGAGGGCATGCCACAGGCTGCGTGCTCGCTGGGCTGCCCCCTTGCTCTCCAGCGAGGGCTGCCTGCTTCAGAGATGGGCAGTTGTCCTATATCTAGGTTAGAGACCTCCTAGTTTGCATAGGTGACTGAATTGTTGGGCATGATATTTGGCCAAGGTAGGAAAGGTAATGAGTCACATCTATTGCTAGTTTTTTGCAGCAGGATGTTTGATTAATACAAACAGCAGCCTTACGCTCACAAAATCAGTGGCACACTCA